AAAACACATTGCATACAATTACCATTTTGGAAATTCTTTTAATTCAAATCGCAGTATGCTAATTGAAGCGATGATTGCAACAGCTGTGTCTCACCAAACAGTGTGACTAATTAAAAGAAATGCAGAATAATTAGGTGGGTTCAGTCATTTGATTGTCATATCCCGGCTCCATTGGGTCCCGTTTGTATTTTCCTCACTCAGCATGCTGGGAACATCCGGGAAGCAGCTCGTTGGATGGACGAAGCTCAGGCCCTGGACACAGCAGACCGTTTTATTAACTCTAAATGCGCCAAGTACCTGCTTAAAGCAGGTCTGGTCAAGGAGGCTGAGGAAATGTGCGCCAAGTTCACAAGGGTAAGGGAAATGTGTGTGTACTTTCGTGTATATATTCTACTCACCGGTGTTTTGTGTGTAACTGCTCTGTTCCTCTCTCTCAGGAGGGAGCGTCTGCGGTAGAGAATCTGAATGAGATGCAGTGCATGTGGTTCCAGACTGAATGTGCTCTGGCCTATAAATCAATGAAGAAATATGGAGAAGCGCTGAAAAAATGCCATGAGATTGAAAGGGTCAGTCATTTTTGCTTTGTCATTATATCATGGTATTTGTGTGCTGATTTTACCTCCTCATCTGATTACTTCGCTCTCACATTCGTTCATAACAGCACTTTGTAGAGATAACAGATGACCAGTTTGACTTCCATACGTACTGTATGCGGAAGATGACGCTGCGTTCCTATGTGGACCTGCTTAAACTGGAGGACGTGTTACGTATGCACCCATTCTACTTCAAAGCCTCACAAACCGCAATCCAAATCTACCTCAACCTGCATGACAACCCGTTAACGGATGACAGCAAGGAACTACAGGCTGATACCGGTAATATGCCATAAATCTATGGAAGCCAGATTCTGCTACAGATTAAAAAATGAAGGTAACTGTGACTTTTTCATCTCACAATTCTGACTTTTATCCTTGTAGAATTGTGAGGGGGGAAAAGTCTGAATAGTGAGATGAAAAAGTCACAATTAATTTAGTATTTTTTGTTCTGTGGTGGAAATGACAAAACTGAATTGCGAGATGTAAACTCAGAATTCAGAGGGGGGAAAAGTTAGAATTATGAGATGTAGGCTTAGTATTTAAAGAAACAAAGTCAGAATTCCGAGTTTGTATTTAGCAATTTTGAGTTTATTTTCCAAAGTGTTTATTTTGCAATTCGTTTTTTCTCAGACCGTTTTCTCACAGTTCTGAGAAAAAAGTATTTTAAATTAAATTGTGAGAAAACAGTCCGAATTGTGTGAGGGGGAAAAAGTTGCAATTACCTTGATTATTCCATGCCAGAAACGGGCCTCCATAAACTGAAGCAAGCCTGTATATGTTTACTTTAAAAAGAAGTGTGCTCAATGTTGCTTGGGTTTTCCAAACAGGGAACCTGACTGACAAAGAACTGAAGAAGTTAAGGAACAAGCAACGGAGAGCACAGAAGAAAGCACAGCTGGAGGAAGAAAAAAAGAACGCGGAGAAAGAGAAACAGTTAAAGAACCAGAAAAAGAAAAAAGAGGATGATGACGAAGAGATCGGCGGACCTAAAGAGGAACTTATACCAGAGAAACTGGCCAGGGTGTGTTTGTTTTGAGAGGAATGTTTGTGAAAGTGGGGAATTCTTCATCTGAAAGATTTTCAGCACAGTTCATCTCTTTAGTAGGAATACCAAGGGGAAATTCGAAGAAACTCGAAGCCTGTTCTTTGTGCTTGGACAAAAAATATTTTGTTTCTCTTTCATTTTTAAGGTGGAGAACCCATTAGATGAAGCTGTAAAGTTTCTGACACCCTTGAAAAACTTGGTGAAGAATAAGATAGACACACACCTTCTGGCCTTTGAGATCTACTTTAGGAAAGGTACATGCATTACATCTCTGAACTCCATTCTCATCTCCATTTGTACAGTCTAATAATAGTTTTCCTTTTTTAATAATCCATTTCTCTTGGATGAACGTCAGAATACGAAACAAATTATCTGTTGCTACATCTCAACTTGAATAGCTGCATAATTTCAGTGTTCCTTGTCCTCAATTTCCTCACAGAAAAGTACCTGTTAATGCTGCAGTCAGTGAAGAGGGCTTATGCAATAGACCCGGACCACCCTTGGCTTCACCAGTGTCTAGTGCGCTTCTTTAAAGGAGGTGAGTGAACCCAGGGTGCCTCTTGCTATTAGTTTGGTTGTATTTTCTTTACATTTTATCAATCAGTCACTATTATGTCTTAATTTGTTGCTTTTGACACCATGTTCACCTCCATGCGTTGGTTGAATTGCAAATTTGGTTGGTAATGTGTTCCTGTTGATTGGCTAACAGTGTCCGAAAGTAAAGACCTAGCAGAATCGGTCAGCATGGTTCTCAAGCAGGAAATCTCCAGGCTGTTTGGGGAAAGTAATGCAAAGAGCTTCAACCAGGCTTTCCTCACCAAGTACTTCAATTCCATCCCTCATCGAGTAGCAGGTGCACATACACAACACTTTATGTGCTCACAACTTTCAAACTGCTACTTTTTCATGTTCAATGTTCAATTTCACCTTTTTTTCTTGCTTTACAGCTGCCAAAATGATGTTCTACTTAGACCCTTCAACACAGAAGAAAGCGGTGGAACTGGCTATAGCACTTGATGAATCACTGAACAACAGAAATATTCAGGTACATAATGGGCTACATGACCTTAAAAAGGTCATATGATGCGATTTCAAGTTTTCCTTTTTCTTTGGAGCTGGAAGCTGTTCGTGAATAGATAAGATCCCTAAAGTCTCAAACCCAAAGAGATATTCTTTATAAAAGTTAAGACTGGTCCACGCCCTACCAAAACGGCTAATTTAAACATGCCCCCACATGTCTACGTCACGATGTGGGAAGATTTGCATAACGCCATCCAAATGGTCACACGTGTATTGTTGCTGCCACTGCCGCTGCCATGTTGTGAAGACGCTGTGTTTTCGTTGTGAAAGCGAAACTACTTTGTTTGGCCTTCCAAAAGAAGACGCGACTAGAAATCAGTGGTTAAGTCGTATTTACAACACTGTTCCAGAACAGTTCAACCCAAATATTCAGATGTGTGCAGCACATTTTATGGAGGACTGTTTCCTGGTAGAGTAGACTACAATGCCGGCTGTTCTGACTCACAGACTGTAAGTACGTTTTCATTCTCGCTTTTCAGACCGATGAGCTTTGTAAGAATAGACACGTTTCAGAAAGGAGGGGCATAGAGGAGAAACAATAATGTACAGTATGTGGAAAATAATGTGTTTTTGATCCTTAAACACATTTCATTACACCAAATACACAAAATAATGTTATTTTTAGCAACATCATATGACCCCTTTAAGAGGATTTTACTAGCTGGTTAATGTATAAAAAGTGGTAAGAATGGAAATGTTTGGGTAAGTAGTGTAAAACAACTTTGTGATTTCCTTCACAATACTGAATTGACCACAGTTTTCTGTTTTTTTTGTTTTTGTTTTTTGAAAGCTGATGTCCTTCGCAAACCCCCAATTGGGAAACCCTAGTATATTACATGCTTATATTACTATTTCATTTTTGCAGATCTGTACAGAGGTTTTGGAAAGCCTGCGTGATGGCAGCCTCGGAGAGGCTAAGGAAACCGCAGAGTTATACCGAGCGGAGTGTCTTAAGATCTACCCCTATACGCTGGCCTTCATGCCTCCAGGCTACGAGGAAAACATGAAGATTGCGGTCAATGGAGACGTCTCCACAGAAACTGAGGAGCTGGCCAATGATATGTGAAGATCTGAAGAGGGTGAAGGACTGAGGGAGGAGGTGGAATGGGAAGCGGTGTGGCACCGCCACTGTCAAACACCCGAGATGGTTGCAGTTGACTAATGCGATTCTGTGAGGAACTTCCTGCGATCTTCTATGCCCCCAGAAATTGCAGTTAGGACTAACAGACAATGACTGTGTTTTGGAGTGGAGGAAGAAGAAGAGGCGGAGTGTTGGGGGGCGGAGAGAATAAATTGCCCATTTTACTTTTTTAACCTTGCTGATGACTACTCTCTAACTGAAAACTAGTCAAACATGCATCCCATTTTGAATACAGTATGTCTTGTAAATGCAAACTTTGTGCAATGGCGAGAGCAAATCCCATAGTCAACAAACCAAGCTAGAGAAGCGCACTCAAACCCATCTTTCCCCTGTTTTAAAGAGTAATTTATATGAAAAATGAAAGCTTAAAAAGGTTATGTGGCTTGTGCAAAAGATCTGGTTTGAGTTGGTGTGAAAAGGCAGCTGAACCGTTGGATGTACTTTAGGGGGGAGACTGGACATGGACAGGAAGTGATGTCATAATGGGAAGCGGCATGTGTAGAGGTTCCTTGTTGCATATCTTGAAGAAGGAAGAGGCTGTATCCAACAAACGACAGTAAACTGTGATCAAGAGCCTGTGAAATTGACAGAAGAAAACCCTTTCCCCCCTTTCTCCTTCATCTTCATTCTGTCACTCTGTTTGATCCAAATGGGTTACAGTGTTCAAAGAAGAGTTTGTTGTATGATAGATTTTTTGTAATAAAAAAATCGTGAGAGCACACATTTGGCACCAGTCCATGCACATCACTGTTCCTTCACATTGACATTGGTAGAGTCTTCAAAACATAGTAGATAACATAGATAAGCATACTTTGCCTCAATTACACTAGAAACCGTTCTAACTACTGAGGGATATGAAATAACTGTGGGCTGTTTTGGTTTCTGTCCAAGCTGGATGTCAGACTACCATTTTAAAAACGGTTCTTACCCCCTTTTATTGTATGCATAATTGCATACATGAATTCATGCATGCAATGAATACTTGTGTTTTTATTATATTGTAAAAGAGAGAGAGAGAAGCTTAAATTTACTTAAATTACGTGCTTTGACGTCTTATGAAGGGTGGTCTTTGAAAACGAGTCCAAGTTTCTCTTATTTAAAGGGGAAGTTCTTCTAATCTAACCATCAGTCATGGGCATGTGAGGAGTGCTCTGAACATTTAGCCTCCTTTTAACATCCATTTCACATGTTTGTTTCGCCACTGGAACTGTAGATGGATTCGTCCATAGACGATTGGTGCGCTGCCGTCGTACCTGTAAGATAATTGTGATTGGAGATGCCGGTGTCGGTAAGACCTGTCTGAGAGCTCCGGTTCATCGACCGGTAACCCGGTGCGCTGCCGTCGTACCTGTAAGATAATTGTGATTGGAGATGCCGGTGTCGGTAAGACCTGTCTGACTCACCGCTTCTGCAACGGACAGTTTCCCAGCAGAACGGAGGCTACAATCGGGGTGGATTTTCGTGAGAAACTTCTTGAGATCGAAGGCGAGAAAATCAAAGTAAGACTTCTAAGTTTAACGGTATTTTGGTTTATTATGAAACACGTTTATATTGTGAGCTAATTACAAAATGTTGCTAGGATGCATAAAGCTAATTTAGGCGGTGCAATAAAATCGTTCCAAAAACGCGATTTCATTCATCACGAATCGGTTCTTTCGAACGGCGTTTAAAAGGAAAAAGACGAGATTTTACGTCGTGCTGTAAAATCTCAACATCACGTGGCTGGAGAGGTGTTCTGTGTAATTTTTGTGTTTTTAATCAAGTCAATCATTATCAGAACGGTTTATTTGTAACGGTTAAATTAACTTTTCACCCCATAAACTGAATCATATGTAGCGTTACACAAATCCTCTTAATATCGGGTTACTCATCGTTTAAATTGAATGAATTTGACTTGTTCGAAAGAGACATTGCTCTAGTTACTCCGTGAATTGTTGACTCGTAAACTGAAGAATTTGGATTTACCGGCTCTGATGTCAATTCAATAACCGACGTAAATGTTTACTTCTATAATTTTTAAGTGGTAGATAAGATTTATTGCGTGTGAATCCCATAGAGGAACAAGAGCAAAACGTGGGATTTCACCGTTTTGTTGTGATCTTTTCTGAGCTTCAAAATGAGGAATTGAACTTCACTTTTAAGAAAAATAGTCCTATGCACAAACATTAAACAACAACTGCCTTAAAGATAACCACATTACATTACGTTTGAGTACATTTGCCTGTCTAAGAACAAATTAAGTTTGTGATTTAAGTATGTCATGTTAATTTTAAGATGTTGTCTAGACTTCAGCAGTACATTGGCATTTTCTACTTCTGCAAAGTCAATGCAGCACTGTTGTTTATGGGTCTGTCTTCTGTGAACATCTTACTGTCATATTTGTTCGCATGTTCCTCTTGTGATATGAATTAATCAGATTTGCTTTTGCTTTGCAGTATTTATGTGTGTATAAAAAAATACAACTTTTCATTATTATAGCCCAGTGTAAACTGGATTACATAATTATATATATATATTTTTTAAAGTAGGTTTTAATAAGTACTTGTAATTAGATTATATTACATTTTAAAATACTCGTAATCAGAGTAGGCTACACTTACTTTTTTATTGATTACATGATTACATATTATTCACAAAAGTCTTTGTCCTTGGAAGGCTTTTGTCTTTCAAACACATTAAAATGCAAAAAATGTACATTATTTCTTATTTGCATGTAATGCAGGGATTCCCAATTTTTTTTAAGGTCATATATGAATAACACATTTGCATGTTCACGGTTCTCTGACGTTGGTTAATGGCCACATGACATGCAGGTAAACAAATAAAATATTTTATTTTTATTTTAAAGATTTATTTTAATTCTACATTTTTCATGATTTAACTATTAGCTTTTCATTTAAACTCACAAACCCCTGCAGTTCCTGCGTGAACCTCATTTTATGAAACCTTGACGTAATGTTTAATGCTTCATTTTCTTAATTTAACAATTAATATTTTCAATCTCTTTGCATTTTTGCATCAATATGATAGTTTTATCCTATTTAAATCAATGTGATTAACAAGTTAGGTCGCAAGTGATCAAAAAGGAGTCCGATTATATTACTTAAATGTGCAATGTAATGGATTACGTTACTAACTACAATTTTTGTCAGATAATTTGGAATCAGTAACGGACTATAATTTGTAAGTAACCTACCCAGCACTGCCCTTAGGTCAGATTAACCCTATGGAGATTTAATTTCAGTTTTCAATGATTCTATAGCTCAAATGGTAAAGCATGTCACTAGCAACGGCAAGGTCATAAGTTAAATTCCAAGTATACAAAAATATGAATCTCTTCCTTTTCTGTCTCACCTCAGATGCAGCTCTGGGACACGGCAGGTCAGGAGCGTTTTCGTAAAAGCATGGTGCAGCACTACTATCGCAATGTGCACGGAATTGTCTTTGTCTTTGATGTCACTAACCCCACTAGTTTCTGCAATCTTCCCTTGTGGATGGACGAGTGCCGTCAGCACTCTCTTGGTCTGGATATACCCCGTGCCCTCGTTTGCAACAAGGCCGATCTGGTCACTTCGACGACTGCTTCTGTGTTAATCGTCCAGGCTCGTCACTTGGCTGAAGTCCACGGAATGTCTTTTTATCTTACTTCAGCCAAAGGTCCCAAAGGGGACCAGGTGGACAGCATCTTTGTGACATTGGCACAGAGGTTGAAGAGCCAGAGAAGGGAGAGTGTGAACGAATGTGTATTACACTGCAGATCTGAGAGCTTCAATATCCCAGCAAGAGTCATAACAGCACAAGAGAGCAAGAAGAAATGGGCCTGCATCTGCTAATGGATGGATGAACTCGAGAGTTATTTTAGTATATCCACTAAAAGAGGCATAGAAAATAACAGTAGGTACTTTGGTCTCTATGTGTGATAGTATGAATGCTGGTTTAAATGGCAATTGCCATTTGGATTTTTATAGTCCTCTGGCCATCTTGGTTTGGTAGACAAGGTCTAGGTTACTTAACACAACATAATCTGTATGAAGAAATGCCTTATAATGAAACAAATTGCAAGACAGTGAGATTTGAGAGTTTCTCTGGGGTTTTCCTGACCGCTGAATCTTCACTTGTACTTGCTGCTCTTTGCACTGGGTTTAGGCTATAGTGACTAACATCCATATAAAACAATTCAAATATATTGTATTTACAGGTAGCAAAGTGTTTGTATGATTCAGTAAATTAATAAAAGTGTCTCTTTGTTCTTTTTGGTTCTTTGTTCTTTTTCTCTTTACAACTTTCTACTCAAATTATTGAATGATTGGGAAGCAGAAAGGAAGGCGAGGTATGAAGAGGAGCAAATGTAGATGCAGTAAAGATTTAAGATATGATCATAATTCAGGTTGTTCCAGTAAACATCTTGTTAATGGAGCCAAACTCTCAGCAACCAATCATAGTTCAAGTGCAGCTGACTATCTGCTTGATACTGACCAAAAAGAAACATCTGCCATTTTTTCCTCTTCTTTTTGAGGCTTCCAATAATGCAGTGCATTGGAAAAGAGATGTGCCAGAAAATGTTTCGTTTCCTCAGCTTACCACACTTTCTTTTTCATCTGTAGATGCCAGAGTGACACCAATATTTGTGTAAAAACATCCAATTTATGTTTGCAAATATTTAATATTCTCTTCAATTATCAGCGTTAGTCATTTTTAAATAATTTGGCAAGTATAAAAACAGAGGCTTACATTTAGAGCTATACAAACTAGCACTTGACAGGTAGCACATCCAACTCGACTGAAAAAAGGAGCGAGGATAATAATCAACAGAATAGATGTTTCTGTGTCATTGAAATAAATGTACCAAATTTAGTGGATTAGGTTGGAAATGAACAAATATATTCACAAATAAGCTATTAATTTTGCTCATTGTGCAACGAGTTGTGTTCTGACCAGAATCACAGTCATTCTGAGCATGCTTTCAAACTAATTTTCATTTTTTTTTCTTTTATTTATATATATTATCTTAGCGTTCTTAGTGCAGTTTCTGTTTTATCATGTGGGTTTGTGAGTATGCTTATCCAGCCTTTCAGTGTAAGAACTCTTTTCATTGTTTAATATTTAATCTGATCACTAAACCTTTTGACTGTTTAACTTAGTATTTGTGCAATTAAATAAACATGAGATTTAAATTGATTCGTTGTTCATCTTTCTACTTTTCTTTCAGTCATCATTTAAGATAACTTCCGATGAGTCAATTATCTTACTGAAGCTTCCCATAAAAAAGTACATTTGCTAAAATATGTTTCAAAATATATTTGTGTAAATATATTTTCTACCAATATATTTTTGACCATTTTTTGTATATTATTGAAAATATATTTAAAAATACAACATTTAAATATTTAAAATATATTATTTTAGTTATATATATATATATATATATATATATTACTATATAAATAACATATTTAAATGAAATAAAACTATAACAGAACTTAACAATCGTGCTTCTCAGGAGCCTCCAGTCGCATACCTGACTTCTGTCCATCAAAATACAAATTAGCTACTATATACATATGGGCCTAAAAAGAAACGCTAAGCTGGACATTAACTACAGTTAAGTTGGTTATATGAAGCAAAAAAAAAATAGGCATCCTTGTTTATTATGCAAGAATAATCATGTCCATTATGTTGTGTTTTGTGTAGAGCTGTTTCATCTCAGCACAAATTAATATACCCCATTTTTTTACAAGGTATTTACAGTTTTTTTCAACTGCTTACATTTTCAAAAATGTGCCTCTTTTTTTCAAAACTTTACACACAAATCCAAGAATTGCACACACAAAATGCAAAATGCCTCACATCTCTTGCTAAATGAAGTACTGCATTCAAAATATCACAAACACATCTCAAAAGCAAACATTTGTCTTAAGTTACAAACACCTTTGCCATAATATATTTTTGGATATATCATATGTGACCATGGACCACAAAACCAGTCCGAAGTCGCTGGGGTATATTTTTAGCAAAAGCCAAAAATACATTGTATGGGTCAAAATTATAGATTTTTCTTTTATGCCAAAAATCATTAGGA